CATGAAATTATTACGGCGGTTGGTTGACAGGAAGATTTCAGGCCCGTAAACTCAGTCGCTTTGAGTTTAAGTTCATAAGTACAGGGTAAATTCAGCTCCAGGACAGGGAATAAGTTCCTCAGAAGGCACAATGGACATTTCTGCTAAGCCTCGCCCCTTGGATATTGTTGCTAAGTATTTTACAAAACCACATGTTAAAACATATGCAAGCACGTGCGTTTATGTGGACACGTGTGTTTCTGAGACTTGTGCGTATCCCTGGCGCTGTTCTGATTGGTCAGTTGTTAAGTTTGATTGACACTCTGGAAAGGTCTTTTAACTTAGAAAAGTTCAATAACCGATTTTACTAGGTGATGATGTAACGAAATTGTTAGAATATGGTCGTGAATGAACATAAATTTTTCCTAGTGAACAGATAAATTAATCGCACTTGAAATAATGTCTTTGATGGTATACAAATATTGAATGTTTATGACTGTAAATAATGGGGTAGAATATTTCATGAGGCGAAAGATTGGATGTTTTATTCAATCAACGAAGCGTAGCCGATTTGAATAGAACATCCAATCTTTCGCCTCATGAAATATTCTACCCCTTTGTACGAATAAGAAACATTTATAATTTGTTTTATACAACACCTGGCTGCATGCTCTTCTTCAAATACAAGGACTCATCTTTCTTTCAAAGGCCTGCATAAAACCGGCCTAAGCTAGGCCTAAGGCAGGCCTAGGAATCGATCAAGCTCAGGTTCGGTTAATAACAGACTCAAATCCTCACCGCTGAAGCTGGAGAAATACTGTACTCCATACGGTTAACTGCATATTTTATTCCCTTTTTTGTTGATTCGACATAACTTTTATTCAGTCATTCCTCCAAACCTTCTTTCCTCAAAAGTACAAATGGCCAATGCATTACCAAATGAACCTGCCATTTTATCGGCGAAGCGAGGGCTTACTGAATGACCAAATCCTTGTTGACGCGCGGGTTTCCTAGAGGCTGGCTATCTAATTTTTCTCGCTGTCGTTGCATTTGAGATTTTTGTCGCCTTGGAGATGAACATGTACTATTTAACGATCGCTGACTAGTATTGAAATAACCGTGGCATATTCATTTCAAATTAATCTCTCGTGACGTGTTTTCAACGAATCAAATGAATAGAATATATAGGCCTACAGGTGTTGTATAATATTTAAATTTAGACCTATTCATACCTTAGCTAAATCCAGGTACTAATGTTTTCTGTGTAATTGTTTCTCCCTACAGAGTTCTTGGACACTTAATTCTCCACCGTATAGAATTAGCAAAACAATCGACATGGTGGAAGAGTGTATTAATGTTACCGTTTACGAAGCTGAAGCGTTAGTGTACTCTACAGGCGATAAATTCAACACCATTGTCATCTTGCCGCTATTCTTGCTGGTCGGTTTGGCGGGAAACGGTGCATTTTTGATCGTCATGATGAAAGTACCAAACATGCAGACGGCGACGAATGGATACTTAGTGAATCTGGCCGTTGCTGATATAATGTTTCTTGTTTTTGCAGTCAGTGAAAAAATTATTTACCTGATTGCCTCACCCATTGTTATTGACAAGAGTGTATTTGGTTCGACTGGTTGTGCTGTGGTAGAGATGGCAATTAGTACGTCGTATTTTGCATCTTTGTTCTTTATAACGCTTGTGACTACGGAACGCTATTATGCAGTATGTACACCGCACGAACGACATGACACAAAGAAGAAGTCCGTAATAAAAATTATATTGGCGTGGATAGTTGCAGGTATCTTATCAAGTACATTATTGGGTTCATTGTTGGAAAAATTCGAAGTTTGTATCTTGTGGCCAGATGGATATGAGCACTTTCCGACGCACATAATGCAATGTAATTACGTTAAACTGTGGATGTCTGTCTATGGAAGTTTTCTACAAGGCTTCTTGTTTATTATTGTGTTTCTCGCCAACACGCTGATGTATTTCAAAATCGTGTGCGCACTTGGAGAACGATTGCAATTGAAGCGCGACGATTACGCATGTCTGAAAAGGGACAAGAATGTGCAATTAAGAAATCAGATAACTAGAACAGTTATTATCAATGGCTGTGCGTTTTTTTTCTGCTTAGCTCCAATTGAATTTTCATCTATATTTTATGGCATATCTGATATAAACAATCACCCGATCTTAAATCCTAATCAACGCAAACGATTGGTGTTTGTAGTGCGTGCCCTGTTATACATAAACGCTATTATAAACCCGATCATTTACATATGTACCAGTCCTCGGTATCGGGAGGCTTTCAAGACAGTTTTCTGCGGCAAAAAGAACCAAGATGACGTAGCTATTGCAAACTCATCAATAACACAGCAAACTCACGGTAGCAGCATGCGAAGCAAACGAACACTTCAAACAACACAGGAAACATCATGCTAAGCTAGATCGTAATTTGCATCTGAAAGAAAACTTTTTTAGTAAACATAGAGGGCTCTCTTTATGGAACCTTCCATTACTTTTACGGGGATTCTATACCTGATTAAAAGTCACAGAGAGACAATGCAATAAAAATTCAATAGTTTATTTCAAATAAAAAATGACGTCAAGTAAAGTAAAATTATTTATACTAATATAATCGTTATGAAGTAAACGTTTTAGTCACTAACCGACAGCTTCTACGAATTAAGTAGAATGATCTGAGAAGCAGGAAATGTTGTCCATGTTCTGGAATATAATAGTATTGTCTTTAGGCCTTCTTGGTATTCGTCATTGCATTTTAATAGCTTGCTATGTGTAGGTTAATTATCATACTAGTTTAAATATATATATATATATATATATATATATATATATTTCAATTAGTGTGTCTTTTTTTGGAGCGTTTTTTAGAACATTGCGTTTCCGTATACACAGATACACATACGGCCATGTCTCGAGGTGAGACAGAGATGACTATTACTCATCAATTTATCTTAGAATAGAAATATTACACTGTTGATTACATTTAATACATTATAAAGCGAAAGCAAAAAAAGAAATGACATTGGCTCATTAAAATAGATGAGTATATTATGCAGTTGTGTTGGAGATGGGCTCATGAGGACCCTTGCAGATGCCGAGAGGAGCAGAACAATTTGGCCTATTCTTTGTCACGAACCGACGGGCAGTAAATAAAGAGGCAATTCCTGAAGCAGCACTCACTGCGTCGTACGACCGTCTTCGTAAGACGAATCCAACTCCACTTTATGTGAGCGCTAGACGAAGCGATGCATCGTCGGTGGCAGTCTGGACGGGTTGCCATTAAAAACGATCCGTTGCACGCACGCGCAGTGAGTGCCTGGCTTATTCAGAAGATAGACCTTTCTTTAACCATAGCTTTCTCTATGCTTTAACCTGCACATGGATGATATGCAGTCTACTCATAACCATTGGCTTAGACTGTGTCAATCAGGGCGTCGCCAAGATACACTGATTGTAAAATATCGTTGAAAAATAGTATTCGTTCGATAGGTTTGATTAGTGATCACAATAATTTGCTTAGGAGAGATGTTTTGCCCTGCCTGACGTTATCGTACTGAATACTCAGTACCTTTCCAAACATTTAAGATAAAATTCCCTCAAGTGATTTGGTTGGGATTCGAACCCACGACCTACATATATCTAGCTTGGTATCATAACCACTACACGACCGAGCTTGCGATTATTAGTTAGTGTTGAATCCGGTCCCCAAGTACCAGCGGGTACTGCAGTACTGTCTAGTTAATGTGATTGTACAAGCCCATGCTACTTAACCATTACGCTCGCGCATAATAGGCCTATGTTTGTATACGAATGCATACTTACCTATTCTAAGTATTATCGATAATGAAGCGACATATCAATTCTAGCAGGCCCGTCGATTAGGCAAAGCTCGCGTAAGCAAATTAAGGATCTGGATCACAAACACATTGAAGTCTAAGATTATACATCATGCCGATCGCACAGGCTAAGCGGCTGTCTCATATATTTTTTACAAGTGTTCTTTAGAAATAAATAATCGTAATTCGTCGATTGTCACGTTTTAATTTAAGCAATAAAACACAGATTACAGGAACGAGCCCATTCTTTTTGTAGTGTCTACGTCAGCACTATGTTATTTGGTATTCCACAGTTACGGTGCCGTATAAAGCTATAGGCCTACATTGTATATTCTGCCTATAATTTAGTACTGTACTAAGTTAAGTGTTATATTGCCATGTGTTTTAGTATATTGCTTAGGCCTATTCATTAAATCCATCAACTGTAAGTATACAAGTGTACAAGCGAAACTAAACGTCTTTTTGTTTCTCCTATGAAATTTTATTAAAAATCCGTTATATTGCAGTTTACTGTAGGCTTATCAATCAATCAATCAATCAATCAAATACTGTCGTTTGTATAGCTCCAACAATGCACATAAAGTCTCATGAATATCATAAATACAAATCAGTATTATCAAGGCCCATGAATACATTTTATCAGTTGTTAGTCATTTCCTGATCAAAACGTAATATATTTTTACACTTCATGAAGCATTTAATAGTAAAATATAATGAATATTTTCAGGGTATTCATTTAGTGAATATCAATTACTAACAACAGCCAGAAATCAATAGGTAAGCCTGCCCAATGCGAATAACACCTTACGCAATTAGATCATGTATTAGAAATGTGTTTGTGTTGTTTATTCAATAAACATTGAAACCTACTATCATATCGATTGATTGATTGGTTGGTTGATTGATTGATTGACTGCTTGACAAATTGGTTGATTGGTTGATTGTGTTGGTGATTGACTAATTGAACGAATATTTGATTGATCGTAATTGATTGATTATTTATTTGATCAATCAATCGATTAATCAATTTATTGATTAACACTACACACAAGTAGGTATATCAAAAATGTTCTGCTCTTCTTTCTAATTACTCAATTTCAGACTGGAAAAATTTTTTTAGGTTAGCATTTCATTTAAATAAAGTGTTTCAATAACCTCGACGAAGTAGGGTCAGAATACGCATAGGTTACTATGTCATTTCCCGTTTTTATTTCTGTAGTTACTTTCAGCAATTAACAGATACCGATGATTTATTGCGCTGTTATATATGTCTAATTACATTACCATTTACTATAATTTTGACCTTCCCATTATGGTTATTACTGCTAATGCATTCATCGACTTCGGTCACACCAAAGTTCGTTTATTTATATTATAATTAATTGGTATATCTCTTCCAATAAACTTATATGCCTGATTCCTCTACTTAAT